AATGCAGATGCGTTGTCACCCGTGAGGACTCAGATGGAATGCCTCGTTTCCAGTAAAAAGGGTCTCCTGTTCTCTATACTCACCATACGAAACACAGCAGCATTAAGCTACTATTTGACGCTGGTATTCTGTGAGAGCGTGGTCCCTCCCCGGTCGAGCCGACCCATTCGTGCTACAACTATACTACTAATATAACTGCAGCATGACGCTACCACGTAAAAAAATTATATACCATTTGAGCAGCATTAGACAATGGCTCAGACAAATTGCTTTCATATTCCCCTAGGTTACATATTATGTTAATGTCAGTTTTGGCAACTAATAGTTTCCTTTCATGATGATTTTTGGAACATTCCGCAAGCAAGTGTTGTGCATCTTCTATTGTCTTGCATGTATCGCAATTTGGAGATTGTTTCTTTTTCATCATGAAAGCAAACTTGTTATACGGAATGTGTCCGGAACGAAGTCGCATTGCGAATACAATATATTTTCTATTCAACAGACATTGATTAAACCAAGGCACTTTCGCAGGCTGACTCTGGATGGTTTTGTACCAAATCACTTTTTCTTGCGATCTTTTATCAAAATATTCTTTCCAAAGTGTATAACATTTCTCTTTATATTTAATTAAAATTTCTGAATAATCAGGATAAATATTACATTCTCTTCCTTGGGTGATTGCCAATTTCGCCAGCTTATCAGCACCCTCACTGCCCCTGTAAACCGATGTGAGACGGTACCCACCGCAATACTAACTCACGGTTTTTACATAGAAGTTTCAATATTTCATTTAATATCGAATATGCTATCGATACACCTCTGAGACCAGAGACGCATCTAGCAATATGTTCAAGAACACTCTTGCTATCAGTTAAAATGACTGTTTTTTTGAAAATTTGTTGTACCAACATGTAATAGGGCATCATTAATAGCAATTAATTCAGCTGAAATTATCGTAAAATTATTAGGAATTTTAATTTTACATTTGTTACCCAGCAATGAGTCGAAATAAGCGGCAACTACGCCATATTTATCTTTGGATCCATCACAGAAGATTTTGTGCCATCCGAAATAATTAATATTTAATTCATTTATTACATTCGACTTTAAAGTATTTATCTCCTGACATCTTTTAGCACCCTTGATACAATTTATTACGTTTTTAACATTGATATTTGATACCAAAGTATTTAAAGAGAACATATCTAGTGGATCCGAAGAATACACACTATTATTATTAACTTGTTCTAATGTAATTGCTAGAAGTGGTTACTTTTTACTTTGCCAGTACCTGTCTTGACAGAATAAGCCGAGTTCTGTTAATAGTTTAATATTAGTATTATGAGTTCTAAATTTAACTTTTCCTTTTTATTGCCGATAAATATCTGTGTTTGAAATATGATACATAAACTCAGCTTACTTTTATTTAATTATTATTTATTTTAAATCTTTATTGCACGTAAAGTGTACGATTGGCGGACTTAATGCCTTTAGGCAATCTCTTTTTTATAGGATAAGGGTGATAAACGAGCACAGAATCTACCGAAAGGCAAGTGGTTGCTGTGACCTATAGACATTTACATTTTTCCTCGCTTACGAATCGAAATGCATATGCGTTAGCACCCGTGAGGACTAAGATATAATGCCTCGCTTTCAGGTAAAAAGGATTTTCGGTTCTGTACACCCAGCTTACGAAACACAGAACCGTTAAGCTGCTGAGCTGCAGAACCGTTAAGTGAGAGCGTGGTCTTCCCCCGGTCGAGCCGAGAAATTCGTGCTATAGCTATACTACTAATATAGCTGCAGCATGACTTTACCACGTAAACAACTACTAGCCAACCACGCTGATAAACTAAAGCAGATAAAGAGAAAACATGAATATATACATATATACAAACATAATATACACATAATATATAAGTATTACTACAAATAACATGATAGTATTACTGTTCTATATTTTATGTAAAGTTTTCGAATAAATTTTAAGTAGTAAGTTTTACTTAAAAGAATAATTTAACTCAACTCAATGGACATCACTAAACAGTGTGTAATTTATTATAGCTGTGTAAAGCGTGGGTTTGCTTCTTGCAAATGAATACACAAAGATTGATGATTATAGTTTTCGAAATGCGTTTTCTATTATAAGATATATATATTTCTATTATACGATATAGTGTCCATTCAAAAAGGTCTATGCGACGGGACGGGGATTAGACAATTAAACTTAGGAAGACTTAAAATGTACGGCCTTACTTAAAATCTTTGATGACCGCTTACTCAAACTAAAGAAACTATATATATATATATATATATATATATATATATATAATATATATATATATATATATATATATATTACTATACTCTTAAGCGTGTTAGAGCCACGATGCAATTATATTGTGGTTGTAGCATGAATGGGTCGGGTCGACCGGGGAAGGACCACACTCTCTGAGAATACCAGCGTAAATAGCAGCTTTCTTTTAGTTATATTATTGATAAGTAATACGCGCAAACCAAAAAAGGAGACAAGCTTTCCAGGATACGTTTTAGGGATATTCAAGAAGAGATCTTGCTTATTTTAAAAGGCCGGCAACGCATATGCAATTCCCATGGTGTTGCAGTTGTACATGGGCGGCGGTAGTCACTTAACATGACACGGTTATGACAGGAGTGTAAAAAAAGCTGTCACATAATAGGAATTCTGCGTTTGGTAGTCAGGTTGGCATCCATAGTTTTTTTATAACGAAATAATGATTTTATTGTTTTTAAAAGCAAAATCTGAAAATTGACACAAAAACATTAAAATATTAGGTTTCTAACATTTAGATATGAAATGAAATTTCTAAAAATAGATTTATTTTTGTGTGAGCAATAGTTACTAACATATTTGCGCGGGAAAACTTGGAAATTTTTATTCGTAGAACAATTCGACCGTCATTTTCAGTGTACTTTTTGTAGCCGATTTTAATCGTCGTTGCCATATTGCAGAGCTTGCCAGCAGGGCCATTTCATTTCTCTAGGGTTCTTTGAACGAGGTTTTAAAGAAATTGCTGGAGTCTTCATTACGTTGCCTGAATACGTATTTTTATTGCAATATTAAAATTATTGTCGTAGTCTTGAAATCTGTGTTATTTTTCTCTTCAAGTTGTTTTAATTTTGTTTAAGTTATTATTACATACATTAACACTGCCATGGAAAATGTTATCCATTGGGGAAGATTAAGTTATAAAGTTCTCTTTAGAGTTTTTTTTAATCAAAACATCAATAAAACTTTTTGGAAATAGTTTTTTTTTCTATTAATAAAGAATACAAAAAGTTTTGTTCGTATCACTAATGCTCTCTTTTATTATTATTATTATATACCTGAACTCCTCAACTAGGCATAAAATTATTTTGCTACATGATAAGTTGAGTGGTTGACTCAGATCCACTACTACCGAGGACACATTATCTAGATGAAAGGGTAATGTGGAGGATCAGTTATGCCATATATATATTATATTCCTTTTTCTTCGTAGTCTTTATCAGTATTTCCACGGATGTTAAAATCATGTGTATGACATTATGACAGGAGATGAAACGTGGATATTTTGTCACATTCCGAATAGAAAGCAGCAGTCTTATGTATGGGTGTTCGAAGGGATAGGAAACCAACAAAATTAAGGCAGGCGTGAAGCGTGGGCAAATAATGATTGCGTTTTCTTCTCACTGACGGATCCTGTCCGAACAATACCACTTGATAAGCAAAAGACAGTGCCAAGCCAAGTTAATGCCAAGTGGTACACTACCATTCGTTTGCCCAGTGTAAGAATAAGTTAGTGGAAAATGGCCAAGAAGTCGACGCATCCTATTGCACTATGACATTGCTTTGGCACACACCGTGTACGAGATAAAGTTGTTTTTGTCTTCTGAAATGGTAGAGCTCGTGACCTGCCCCGCACAAAGTTCAGACCTCGCACCATGTGATTTCTTTATATTCCCATAAATCATAAAGGCTGTTATAGGGTTTAACCAGCACGTGAAAAATATGCTCTTAGACCAATGGTCCTTATGTTTTCATATAAATTTTGTCGAATCGATTTCAATATAGATAAAATGAGAATATTATCAATGCAGTCGAAGTCAATAAAACACGCAATATTAAAGATAACTCAAAAGCTATTCTTCAGATCTTGATCAAATTTATATGGGACCACATGAGAGGCACTATCTTTGTTATTTATTATTTTACGATTGTATTATTTTAGGTATGGTGTAAACGAAATAGTTATCTGTCTTTCGGAGGTCACATGACCTTTCCTGCCGTTTCCAGCATATCCACCTCCCCTCTCCTTATAGTTGAATTATTCAACACTTAAAGAACGAAACGGTGTGATGTACTATTTTCACTGCCACCATACAGCGTAAAAATATAGTTTAAGCTTCTTAGTATCACGAAATGAACTGAATTTTTTTTTCGTTTGTTATTCTATTCAATAAAAATTATATTACGAAACTACATACTGAGTCGCGCACTGTAAATAATGCTTAAACGTCTGTCGTATAACGTACGGATGAACCTATGTGAGTTCTGAAAGGAAACAGGAAAAAGCTCTATTCTGTCCTTTACTTTGTATGTAGTACAGCCAAGTTATAGCTATATTATGCTTGTAGCAAAAATGGGTCAGCACCGTATATGGACGACACTCTCTGAAAATAGCAGCTTGATGCAGCTGTGTTTAGTATTGTGAGTGTAGAGAACCCACAGAGAGAACCGGAGACCCTTTTTATTTCAAGCCAAGCACTTCATCTTAGCCCTCAGGGTGACAATGATTTTGATTCTTAATCTTGAACAGATATAACATGTCTATGGGTGGTATTTTACACTTAGCATTTACCCTCACGTGGACAGTGTGCTCGTTTGTCATCCCATTCTATAAAAAAAATTGGTCATTTTATGAAATATTTTTATTATTCTTTTCAGATAATCCTCAAAATGGTGCAATGATGTGAGAGCGATGCTGCTGCAGCAGGCCTCGTCGTCGCCTGGTCCCAGCGGCACGGCCAGTCCCAAGCTCGCCCCCAGCCCGAAACCTAACCCAAGTCCTAGTTTCAACACTAGATTTACTGGCAGTCCTAGTTTAAGCGATGGAGCATCTAGTTCTAACAGCCCAAAATTTGGGGCTAACAGTCCTAAATTTGGCGCCAGCCCGAAGTTCGGGAGTCCGAGACTGGGCAATGGGAGTCCTAAGTTTGGGAGAGGGACGGCAGAGGATGAAGTCGCTTTAGAAAGGATCCAGGCGGAGTTAAAGGAGGGGTGGACAGTTCACACCGGGAGGGATGGCAGATTATATTATTGCAAGTGAGTAAAAAAATCAATTATAAAATTTCTTCTCTTTGAACGCTTAAAGCCGTACCTATATCTTTTTTCTTATCTTACCTTACCTAATCGTTGAATATCATTTACTTAAATTAAGTATATATAAGTTATCTCTATACCTGTGTGAATGTTTTCAGTATTTGTTAATCAAATACATACCGTATTTAATAAATTTGTAATATACAGAAATTTCAAATGCGTAACTAGATTAGTTTTTGATATAAACCCCATAACACAAACAATAACCGTAATCTGACAAATTCGATGGCCCTAAATTTACTTTATTTTGAAGATAAAATATAATAAAAAAAAATGTGTACTAGACCAAATGCTGAAGTATTTGTACAGTAGGGCTACGATGGCTATCCGAGTACAGAACCAGAGTTCGAAACCTATCCAACTGCAGAGAGGTGTAAGACAGGGTGACGTTATATCCCCGAAACTCTTCACCGCTGCATTGCAAGACGTTTCCAAGCTACTCGTCTGGAAAGGATACGGTATTAACATCAATGGCGAGTACATCACTCACCTTCGATTTGACCACGATATAGTCGTTATGGCAGAATCGGTGGAGGACCTAAGCACTATGCTCAATGACCTCAATGGTGTCTCCCAACGGAACTAGGTCTTAAGATGAAGATGGAAAAAACAAAGATCATGTTTAATGTCCATGTCACACCTATGCCGGTAGTTGCTGGGAGCACTTTGCTCGAAGTTGTTGACGAGTACGTTTACCTGGGACAAATAGCCCGACTAGGTAAGTCCAACTTCGGCCGAGAGGTCACATCGGGCAGCGTTCGGGAAATTACGACACATCTTCTCGTCAGGTATACCTCAATCTCATAAAACTAGATTGTACAACCAGTACGTGTTGCCAGTGATGACTTACGGATCTAAGAGGTGCTCCTTCACTGCTGGCCGTATGAGGACGCTCAAGGTCGCTCAGCGAGCTATGGAGAGGGCTATGCTCAGAGTTTCTCTGCGTGATTGACTCAGAAATGAGGATATCCGCAGTTAGACCAGAGTTACCGACATAGCCCAACGGACTAGTAAGCTGAAGTGGCAATGGGCCGGCCATATAGCTCGAAGAACCGATAACCGATGGGGAAGAAAGGTTCTCGAGTGTCAGCCTCGTACCGGTAGGCGTAGTGTAGGGCGACCTCCCACTAGATGGAGTGACAACCTGGTAAGATATGCAGGAAGTCGATGGATGCCGGTGGCTCAGGACCGTGCTTTGTGGCATTACTTGGGGGAGGCCTATGTTCAGCAGTGGACTAGTGAAGGGCTGTAATGATGATGATGAGACCAAATGAGCTCGTAACTGGCACTTCAGCTGCTAGGTAAGAAAACAAATTCCGCTTTTTTTCATGTTTACGATTCCCTCATACAGCGTAAAAATATAGTCATGACGGTTTTGGATTTACATTATACACCAATTATACAAATTTCAGGTCTGTAAATTAGTCTATCTATAATTAGAGATCCGTGACAAACGAATTGACAAACAGACTGACGGTACAGGTAGACAGACATCAGAGGAAGTCCTAAAAAAACTTAAAATGTCGCATTATGTTCGGTGTGTACCCAATGTGCGACAAAAAATAACTGCATCGAATGCATATATTTTTAAATGAAATTAGTGTACGCTATATACATCTGCAGCCGACTCCAAACAAGAATACACCAGGTCACACAGAAAATTTAGCAAGACGAAACAGTCTACCTGATAGAACGTGGCTAAATGTTCACAGCTGGACATAACCCTTACCCATAGATGTCTCGTTTTTTATAGGATGGGGTGACAAACTTCCATCTGATGGTAAGTGGTTGCTGTGGCCCATAGACATCTACATCTATTCCCGATTACGAATCAAAATGCAGATGCGTTGTCACCTGTGAGGATCAAGATGGAATGCCTCGTTTCGAGTTAAAATGGTCTCTGGGTCTATACACTCACCATACAAGACACAGCAGCATTAAACTACTATTTGACGCTAGTATTCTGTGAGAGCATGGGCCTTCCCCGGTCGAGTCGACCCATGTGTGCTACAACTATATCTACTACCAATATAACTGCAGCATGACTTTACATCGTATAAAATCTCATGAGGTCTCTCTCATTGAGTGATATTTTCCATAGTCGTCGCTTGGCAAGCGGATTATTCAACCGCAGTTTTTATTTCTATTCATCATTCTGCTGCTTATCTTCTGGTTCAGTTACCCGCTGCCATCTCTTACAACACCCTCGGGATAGGATGGGGTATTGGATATTCTTACATGGCCACCATTATTGTAAAGTTAGTAGCTACTGTAGTATCGTAACCAAGTCTGGTGTTTTTTTTGCTGGTATATTGTGAAAGCTTGATCTTTTTAAAATGGAGCTGACCCAGTTCTGCAGCCATAATGTAGTTGAAAAGTGAAATTATTTTATTCTTTTTTGTTCTTTGAAGTTGACTTTTACTTTTTTATCCCCCGATGAAAACAGAGGGGTGTTATAAGTTTGTAGTGTGTATCTACGCATCTGCGTTTTTTTATAGACATATATTTAGGGTGACAAACGAGCACACGGTCCACCTGATGGTAAGTCCATGCTGGGGCCCATAGACATCTATATTTATCCTCGATTAAGAATCTACACGCAGATACGTTATCACCCTTGAGGACTAAGATGGAATGCCTCGTTTCCAGTAAAAAGGGTCTCCGGTTCTCTACACTCACCATACGAAACACAGCAGCATGGCTCTACCACGTATAAAAAGGATATAATATATATATATATATATATATATATATATATATATATATATATATATATATATAAAATTAATAAGTTATATTAGTTATTTTTTACCCTTTTGAGTGTACACTAAGGAATATTATAAACTCAATGTAGTCTACTTACATTAAAAAAATTCACCTCCTTTGCCACACTTAGGAAAGGAGTTTTTTTCTTAAAAGTTAATAGCAACAGTGTCGTGTTAGCACTGCCACTTTACGACACTCGCTTACCTTTCTGTACTAGAATTCCATTTTTTTTTAAATCGTTAAGCTCACTAGGAATTTATTCTATCTCGTGAGGTATTTATACATTATATACATTACATACATAAATATCAAATGGACAAATGCATAACACATTTTTTTATAGAATGAGGTTGACAAACGTGTGCTCATTTGTGATCTTAGTTCTATATTTAAAAAAATCATGTCTATGGCTTAGTATTCGTAACAGAGTCATCATGACCCATGATCACGGTGTGTTTTAATTTTTTCATCTAATTTTGATATTCTGTTCAGAAACCTATCAGTAGGTATACATTAAGTTAAATAGCTGTTACACAGCCCAGAAAGCAAATCGTCAATCTAAAACAATACCGTTTATATATTGCAAAAATTCCAACCCGTTTGTTACTCCGTTATTACTTGGTAGATAGATACCTATATAACTAGAGCGCCATCGTTGCGAAAGCTCACCATCTTTAGAAATTCCTTTTAGCAAATAATGTTTAACGATATACGCTGATATTTAATGAAAAAGATTAAAAAATATAGTTAAAGTTACGGTCTATATACATCCCACTGTTGGGCACAGGCCTCCTCTCACTTCTTCACACTGTAAACATTAGGAACAGACACAAGCTAGTGGTGCTAGTTATTCGACTCCACAGTCAGTAATTTATTCTGATGGCGATGAATTCGCTTTTACAAAAAAAATCCCCGAAAATATACAAAATTGGATTTCCACCAAGTTATAAAACTTTATCAAACAATGATTGTATAAAAAGCGTTAGTAATTTTAGAAATTTATGATAGATATTTTTTATTGAATAAGGGTGACAAACGAGCACACAGACCACTTGATGGTAACTGGATGCTATGGCCCATAGGCATCTACATTTATCCTCAAAGATGAGAAAATTATAGTTTCCATTACGTCTTATCAAAAGTTCACCGATGGATGAACTGCCTCTTGCATCCATAGAATGCCTGAGTATTTCATCAGGCAATAGGCCGGTCGTATAGCTCAAAGAACCGATAACCATTAGTAAAAGGCTCTTCAGCAGTCGATACTTACACATATACACATTATATATTATAAATAGAAAACATATCATAATATCCATAAGCAGTAATAATTATAAAATTTAGTCACAGGACTAATTATTTAAATTAAATTTAATTAATGAATGAATGACTTTTTCTTTTTTTATATAGAATAAGGGTGACAAAACGAGCACACAGTTCACCTGATGGTAAGTGGATGCTGTGTCCTATTAGACATCTACATACCACGATTATAAATGAAAATGCAGATGCGTTGTCACACCTTAGGACTAAGATGGAATTCCTTGTATCGTAAAAGTGTATCCAGTTCTCTACACTCACCATACGAAACACAGCAGCATTGAGCTGCTATTATACGCTGGTATCCTGTGAGAGCGTGGTCCTTCCCCGGTCGAGCCGACCCATTCGTACTACAACCATAATATAGCTGCAGTGTGACACTAACACGTATAAAATGACACTACTCTCTTAAAGGCAGCAACAGTAGTCGGTTTCCTAATAATTTGAAGTAACTCATTCCAAAGCCATAAATTTAGTATGGCAAGGAAAAACACAAAGTAATTCTCACGAAGGATGACAGGAAAATTTACTAGATGTATATTTTAAAACAAAATGATTGCTGCAACTTTATTGTGTGTGTGTATGTTATTTATGTATGTTAAAATAGCGTATTTTCTGTTGTTTATGTGTATGCTATTTAACAGGCACAAAGTATATGTAGATTATTTGTACTAATATATATTTATAAGTATATTTCATTATCGTCATCATCATCATGATTACAGCCCTTCACAAGTCCACTGTTGAACACCGGCCTCCCCAAAGAATGCCACAAAGCACGGTCCTGAGCCACCTGCATCCATCGACTTCCGCATATCTTACCAGGTCGTACTCCAAGGGTTGCCTTACACTACGCCTACT